CTAGGTTTAAATCCACCTGAACAGGCGGTAGCAGCTTCTACGACCATCACATCAAACACCACCCATACCGTCTGGGCACTTCTACAAACGGTGAGTACAACTCAAGAATATAAAGTGAAGCATGTAGCGAATCAATTCAAGTCAAGGAATGGCTTTATACACCCCGAGAGGTGGATATTCAGCAACCACATAACCATAGTGTCAAAAAATACGTAAAACAATAGTATGATACAGCAGTTAAAAGGATGTGAAAAGGGGCAGCAACAACCAAAATGAGTGGCACACCTGGGTGTTCATGAGGGATTTAGTGTGGTGTTTGACGCAGATTTCCCGTAACGAGGTCTTTGTTTGTTAGAAATCTGGAGAGATAAGGAACAACAAACCGCCTGTAAGCTTCAGTGCGAGTCTTTATGAGTTTGAGTGGAACGGGTGGATGAGTGAGAAAGGCAGTCGCTAAGAGAGGAATAAAGAGGATGGGAGATATCAGATAAAATCTTATTCGAGAATGTTTTACAGGACTTGAAGTAATGTGTCACCACAAACTCTGCTAGATGTTCCCGTGGTATGAGACTACAAACGGAGAGAAATCTGAGGGATCGGGAAATGAATTTGAGGTCCTTGTTCAAAAGACCAGGGAAGATAACAGGGGACCCATAAAGCCAATGTGGCAAAACGCACGCAAAAACAAAACGCCTTATGAGGTGGTTTGGAATGGAAAGGGATTTAAGGCGTAAAACATAAAAAGTGAGCCTCCTGACCTTCAAAAAAACGTCATTGACATGGTCAGACCAGGTGAGGTTATGATTAAAAATAACACCCAGGTATTTGAAAATCGGTTTTCGTACCATCTGCTCACTCAGGATAGATAAAGGTGGGCTGGCGTTTGATAATTCATCAAACTTTTGCCCTTTCAGTAGAGAAAAAATTACGTCACTACATTTTTGGGGGTTCATGCAGAGATTTCTTTGTTGTGACCATTCAGCTAATCCGGTCACGTCTTCTTGCAGAGTCGTTTGTAATGATGAGTTGGGGTAGGGCAGTCCGAATATTATATCATCTGCATACTTGACGAGAAGAGAAGAATTGCCCACAGGCATAGAGGAAATGTAGGCAGAAAATAGAAAAGGGATAAAATGGCGCCTTGTAGTACGCCTATCGGGTGGAAGTAGTAACCACGCAGAGAACAATGCTTTCTCTCTGTTTCCCGGCCTTCAACATGCCGGAGGTTTTCACAACACATGTACTGGAACACCTCAATCACGGTGTCTTAAATGCGCGAGATGTTCTACAGGTTTACTTCTGAGGAACATCGGAGACTATGAAACCGACTAAATCCTAGGCACAACCTTTTCACACACAGCGATAAATAAATAGAATCAGCCGTTTAAACCAGACCTAATCCAAAGATTTTCTAGGCTACGATTAGCACCTCAGAAAACCTCTGTGGTCGGGGGTGCTGTGGGTTGGAACTGGTTACCCTTTTCCTGTAGACGTCCACATGCTCTTGTGCGACCAAGCGTCTCAAATAGCCTCTGCTAAGGAAGCTGTACTCATTGCCTTCACACTACTGTGTTTATTTATTATTCCATCATTTTCTCGTGAGTAGAATACTGCGTGATTGCTTAGGTTAAAAGGGGTTGATTTTCCTGTGATATTTACAATCAGAGCCTTCGATTAACCGAAGCCTCAACTCGTAAGGCTGGTCTGCGTCATGTAAAATCAGTAGTCCATTGAGTAGCAGGGTGCAGTTTTTCGGATCATAGGCTTTATGGACGAAGTCAGACGTTCAAGTGTCCAGTTCACCTCTATGCCCAATAGGGTTGGTGATCATTGTTACAACTAGGCAGATGTGGATGTGGTTCGTACGCTTTTTATTTGTTACTTTGGAATTAGGGTTTTTGACTAGCTCTCCTAGGCAGTACGCAGCTTCGCTGTCGTCCGGTTCAATACCACACCTAACCTAGCGGGGCCTTATGTGGTTCGCCACTCCAAGTCTCGGGGCTCGAATCTCTAACCACAGGGTCCAAAGCACGCTGGTAGCAGCGGCTAAACCACTGTGCCACCACCACCCATCGGTTGGGAAATATTTCCGCCGAGTGAATGCAGTGGGCGAAGCTTCCTGGGCATAGTTTACTCGGGACACTGTTGCATACGAGCGTTTCGTGGTAGTAGAAGCATACTCCGATCAAAGTATGTTTCAACTATTCAACTTTCCTTTCTTCTATTCTTCATCCAAATGGGCAGCCAAAAGACAGCAACCAAAACCGGCACACGAATGTGCGTGGTTAATGGTTGTTAAAGCTGAAACTGAAACAAAACTCCGATCACATACAGGTCCTCTGATTATTGATGTACCACAAGCAGTGTTTCTTGGTCTGAAAAGAGCGTTCGACTCGGTTCACTGCGAAGCTCTAATGGGTTCACTTCTTCGAAAAGGAATGCCCCAGAAGTACGTTAACCTACTGAGGTCACTGTACTCTCATACCTCCGGTCATGTAATAGTTTACGACGAACTAAGTAGGTCGTTTGTCACCAGCAGCGGCGTTCGTCAGGGGTGCTCTCTTTCGCCGTTCCTGTTCAATTTTGTCTTAGACGAAATACTGGAGAACACTTTAAGTGAATTCCAAAACGTAGACATTGAATGGGTAGCTGGAGAAAAGCTGTGCTATTTGGAGTACGCCGATGGCATCGTTTGTCTGTTTGAATCTATGGAGGACGCGCAAAGCGCACTTAATAGACTCACAAGTACTGTTGCCACATTCGGTATGTGCTTTGCAACTTCAAAGTGCAAAGTGATGCTGCATGACTGGGTTTCACCTACTCCCATTCTAAAACTAAATGGCCAGGAATTATGGTGGATTACTTTTCTTACTTAGGTAGTTACGTGACCAATGACGGTTGCGCAGCGAAAGAGATAACGGTCCGCATTTCCAAGACTCGAGCAGCATATGCAGGACTGAAACACCTTTGGCGTAGACGCGACGTTTCACTGAAGTTGAAATGCCGTGTATATAGTTTCAGTTTCAGTTTGAACAACCATTAACCATGCACTTTCGTGCACCGGTTTTAGTTGCTGTCTTTTGGCTGCCCATTTGGATGAATAATAGGAGAAGGCAGGAAAGTTGAAGGCAGAGTCGAACAGAAAATGGAGAAGTTCAGTGGTCTAAGTTAGCAAAGAAATTGAGAAGATGCACGAACGCCACTGGTTACGAAACCCAGCCATATCATTCATTGCCTCTAACCATCGGNTAACGGGACCTATGTGACCCAGACTACTGGTTGGGGTTTTCACACCCTCGTGCCAGGTCTTAGCTTGGCCACCCTTGACTTTCTTCCACCCACTACTTGCCTCGGCGAACATCGCTCACCGTGGCAACCTATCTAGTGACATGCGTAGCACATGTCCCAACCAGCGTAATCTATGGAGGTCGACTGCCTGTACCGGTATGATCACCGATTCATACCATTCAGTTGGAACCTGTTCCTTTTCCCACACTGAAACCAGGAGTTTTGTTAACTCCAAAACCAAGGCTAGACCTCCATCCTTAAAAACCGATGGCGACGGCCCGTCGGGGTCGGAAGCCTTATGCCTTTTGAGATAACGTATTTCTCTGGTAACCTCCATTTCAGATGGGGGACTAGCGTCAACTGGTAGTATTTGCCAAGTCAAGGTAGAGAGTAAAAGATCAGATGTCGATGGGGGCCAGTTGAATTGAGCCTTGAAGTGTTCAGCCCACCGATCAAGACGGCGTTGCTGATCGTGGATCAGTGTGCCACCGTGCCATCGGTCGTTCCGTTCTGCTTTATGGTTGTGAGACCTTGAATTTGCGAGCAGAAGATATCCGTCGACTAGAAGTTCGCGATTATCGCTGTTTACGTACTTCGGCCCACGTGGGATGAATCGAACGGGTTAGTGGTGGCGTAGTGGTAGTAGTAGTCGCTGACACCGGCGTGCTTTGGACCCTATGGTCCGAGGTTGCAGCCCCGCGACCGCCATCTGACTGTGGTGGTAGGCGGCTCTGCTATCGTCCAGCTCAATACCACACCGAAGCTAACAGGGCCTTATGTGGTTCGCCACTCCAAGTCCCGGGGCTTAGGTTGCCGGTTTGCACCACTGAACAGCAGATCCTCGTGACTTTGGCGTTGGACCCTCTGCTGTCCATCACACTTAGGTGTGCAATACAAAAAAAACAATCTGGAAGTAAGTTGTCGTGTGTTTGGGAGTTTATCAGAGATAAACCTGCTAGCACACCGAATTCAGATTAATAGGCTTCGCTGGCTAGGGCACGTATTGCGTATACCCAGCTGTGGTCTGCCGCACCGCGCTTTATTTACTGTAGCTAATCCGGGCTACAAGAAACCACGTGGAGGTCAACAGATGACGTGGAGACGGGGCATGAAGAAATGCACAGAGCCATTAGGTAGAGTAGGTGTCTCGCGCTTTCCAGGTTTTGGGTCCGAAAGACTCCACAACCGGTTAGTTGGAGACATTGAAGGATATAGCAGCGAACAGACAGCAGTGGCGTTCTTGTTGTCGTTTCTTATGAGGTCAGAATGCTTGAAACGGTATATATGCAGAGTTCCATTGCGTGCTCTGTGTGTTAATCATGGAAGTTCACCTTCCCCCTACCTCAATCCAATCCCTGTCCATCTTAAATTCTACCACTAACCTTGTATGCGTTGCTAGTTTATCAGCGATTAGGGAAATTCGCCTCACTGTATTTCGTTGTACGATGATGATGAGCAGTATTAGGTCACATGAGTTTCTCAATCGTTTGTACATTAAGTTTTCTTCTTTATGCATGCATTTAGTGATATTTGTGCTCTAAGTTAACCAATTTGTCAACATGAGCCCATAGAAACAGAAAGATGTTCGTGATTTCGGGAAACACTAGATTTTAGTTAGGGGCAAAAAACTACTGCTGTTAATGTATTGTTCCTTTCTGGCGTACATTTTGACATCTGTGTTCATTGAATTCCTGGATTTGTTTCCTTTCAGAATGTTTTGTCTACAGTGGATTTTGCCGCTGCTGTTTCTGCCCAAACCGACTAATCCGGCTGCACATTTGCATCATGTGATCTACGTGTTGTTGTTTCTCATCTGTTTTTTCCTCGAACGCAAGCCGTGCGGTGTTTGTGCGGTCATCTTGTTCGCGTTCCTCGTCCTGCCCTGTTCTAGCTCGTTGGATAAGTTGTGTTTGTTTACGAACTGTGTAATGGGTAATAGTCCGCTCAGTTGACTTGTATTCACCACCGGTTCCCGTGCGACTGTGTGCGTGTATGTGACTGACCCTCGTTCAGTATGCCCATCCGCAATGACTACCGGTTCTTTCGTGCAAGCGATGCATTGGCTGCGTGATCTACTTCCAACAGACCCGGTCCTAAATCATCACTGCTTTTAGGTGGCCTACCCGCGGCAGAGCCCATTGTTACATTTCTGTTCATTTTTCCCTTGGTTTATCTGTATGAGTTCTTTTCATTGGGACATCGGTTTTCTTATTGATCAGTTTCCCCACACAGTTATTCGCAGATTCATGTCCCGCTGCTCACTTCTGCAACCGCATTCATTGTCCAAAGATGTAATATATTCAATAAAACCTCTCGAATGCTTCTTCAATCGCAAGGTTTCCATCGGCTGCGCGGGCTAGTCGGCCAAACTTCAATCAATCACTGTGATCCCGGATTGCTAATTCTCCGCTTTCATCTGGGCTGCATACAGAGAAGCAATAGGCTAGCAGATGTCTACGACCTTCAGAACTGTACCCCGGGGATGTTCATCTAGGAGGAGGAGGAGGAGGAGGAGGGAAGTGTGATTACTTCGACAATGATTCATAGTATTAAACAGTAGCAGACAGCCAGCAGAGATGCCCGAGGATCTAGCCGGTTTTCATCTAGCACTTGAAAACTTCAACGAAACACTTGATAGCGACCGATTAGGAAGAAAGGCCTAGTTATTATGCTAGCTAGATGTGGTTAAAGAGTTGAGCTCGCTAATGGGTATCCGAACCTTGCTGGTCCTGATGAGTCTACGACGGTTGCAAAACCGTGCTTCGACATCCCTGACGTTCACAGACGTAACCGGTAAATGAACCTGTCCGGCTACCTGCAACACCAGTGTGATGTGAAGTTGGTTTATGTCTGTGGTTTAATCAAATCAAATCGGCTCAGTTCAGTTTTTACAAGCATTAATCATGCACTTTCGTGCACCGACTTTGGTTGCTGTCCCATTTGGATAAAATAGCAGGATGAAGATTGGAATGTTGAAAGCAAATTCAAGCGGAAGATGGAGAATTCACATAGAATAGGTGTTAGGGGAATAATGAGTGGATGCATATGCGCCACTGTTTTCTACACCCAGCCATATCCCTCAGTGTCTCTAACCATCGGTGACCATCATCCCGAGGTCCCCATCCCGGGAGACCTAGTCTTCTGGTTTGGGTCAACTCACAAATCGCTTTATTCATCCTTACGCACCAGGGTCATTAATAATCGCAGGGAAAAAGTAAAATACAGCATCGTAAATTCAAGAGGAATGTGGCATAAAAATGTGAAAATGTATATCATTTACGAAGGAATTTCAAAACATTTTCTCTAAAGTATACTTTCTGCGCTCGAACTCTCGAAAGATAATGGGACAATGAACAAACGGTAGACAGTGGTGCGAGTATACACACGTTTATAACGACACCTAGTTACAGAAGTGGATACATATTGCTTAAGTTCTGTGCAATGTCTGATCGAATATTGTTTCAGAAGTTTTCGCAAGAGGCCAAATGTTTGTCGGTGATAAAGTTGGGTAAGTGTAACTAGGGGATATCCCTTGTGCGTGAAATAATTTCATTTGGCTGGTGTGAAATTGCGTAGTCTTTAACTCTAAGACCGGCAAATAAAACTGAGGAGCAGTATAGAAGAAGAGTGACAACGCAATAATATAAAAATCGGGTGAACAAAAACTGTGAAACTTTTAAAGATTGCGAGCGGCAAATAAAAAGAGCAGTCGCCTTATATTTTTAAAAGTCGAGTTTAAATGTGAGTTCCATGTGAGATCTTGGCAGATAGTAACACAAAAGTATTGCAAAGAACGTACTGGGGAAACAGACTGGTTGTCAACATAGAATACCGAGTAATTCGTTTCAAAAGAATGTAACCGTTCTCCTTTGACTAGTGAGAAGTTTACATCCCTACATCTAGGGGCATGGATAGATAATTTGGAATAGGAAGACTATAAGTTCAAGGCAGATAAACTGGTTCCTTGACATCACTCTTGCTCGCAAGCCGGTAATAAATGCATAGATAAACTGGTTTGAAGCTGTGAGGAGCGGACGTGACCTAGGAATTTGGAACCCATGATGATATTATCGGCATACTTGATATGAAGATCATCTGAGTCAGTGGGTAGGTCTTGAATATAGCAGGATAAAAGAAAAAGGGACTTTATTTCTCCCTGGGGCACTCCTGAATTTGCCGATAGCGAGTCAAAAATTTTTCCAAGAAACCAGTACAAAAAATAATCTTGGAGTAGATACAGGGAAGTATTGGACAATCCAGCACCCTGGAGTAATGATAAACCCTGCTCCTGTAGGTACAATTAAGAGTATTACTGTAGTTGAGGAGGCACACAAGAAATGATGTATTATTCATGGTTAGAGGTTGCAAACTGAGTTTACCAAGGGCGTCTACGATAGAACGTTGTTTGATATAAGCGAGTTGACCGTGGTCGAACCGCCGAGTGTTAGGAATAATGTTACTAAGCATAATCTCCTCAAAAATGTTTAGTCAGGCGGAACTGCAGGTGGTTGGTTGAAATCCCCCGGTTTTATTTTATTTATTTTTTTTTTTGGGAGGGGGGATTGGTGTGATGCCTGAAGATCTCCAATAGTCGGCTTCCATTAGAAGAAGGGAAGAAAAAGAAAACTGCGTTCTGAAACTGTCACCCAAAGAACCGTTACATGGACCTCCTCTACCTGATGAGCACACTTTGATCAAATAGTTAAGGTGCAGACTTATGGGGACACCACCCTGTCCTATAGCTGGTAGATGAGTTAGAAACGAGATGATACACTTATGTCCAGAAAGGCCTCTATTTCTCATTGCTTGCTGACCGAGAGGAAATAGCCCGTAGGTTGACTAACTGTTTATCGATGATGTAACCTCTCTAGGTTCCCTGGGAGCAGTTTTGTTCCCTATGTGGTGCATTTTGAATGATGATACTCGATTGCGTCTTAAAGAGATGTCAAGGTAACCCTAAACCATCCAGGTTGTTAGTTAAGAATTGCACTTCCCATATAATGCAAGTTTTAGAGGTGTACAACGGTTGCAAAAGAAGGCTAATCAATAAGTGCAAATAAAAAATCGCAATCATTTATTGTTACTTCCTGGGGAATACGTTCCTCGGTTCTACAGCACACGCTAACCAAACGAGGTTGGCTACCGTCCAACTGACGCGCCCGAAATAAAGGAACCAATGAAAACCTATGTCTATGATAGGCATTAAAACTTTGATTGGGCTATTTTGAGAATATGTGGGAACATTACATGTAATTTTTTTGTTATTTTTCAAAGAACATTAGTAGTAAAAAAAAACGGTTCGGATACGCACAGGGCAATCGGTTTTAATGGTTCTGGGGTTTGAACTAGCTAACCAGAACGTAGTGGGACGTTTCTGTTGTTGAGGGTAGTACGGCCCGGGTGGGTACAATATTTGAACCAGGTGTGGTCGACGATGGAGTGGGAACTATCTATGCAGTGGTCACCGGGGTTGGTGGGGTATGACGCGGGGGACGTTGAGCCAATATGAACTAGCTTCGTGTGATCGATGGCGATGATCGCTTTTTATTGTTAACTTCGTGTTTGTCGAATTGCAACACCATTTTGCAAATTGGAGGTGCAAAGCACATACGACAGAAATTGTTGGCGATTTCGCGTCCACCATACATTCGAACAGGTAAACGATGCTGTCAGCGCACTCCAAGTATGTCATTTTTTTCTCCAGATGCCCATTCAGTACCAACATTTTGGAAACCACTGGGTGCATTCTCCAGTATTTCACCTGTGACGAAATTGAACGGCAATGGTGGATCAGGGCATCCATGACGAACGCCGCTACTGGTTTCTAACGACCTGTTTAGTTCGCCGTAAACCCTCACGCTAGAAGAAGCATGCGGATGCACTGATCTCAGTGACATTCCTTTGCGAAGAATCGAACCCGGTGGGCGCCGCGGTGAACTGAATTCAAGGGACAATACGACCGATGTGCATGACGTAACTTGAGGCTTGATGTAGCATAAAGATATAGTCAATGCAACCTCAACCAGATTTGAATCCTGCTTGTTGTTCACGGATATTAGTGTTCATGATGGTTGTCAGCCGTCGAAGTATGACGGAAGTTAATGCCTTGGTGAAGATCGGGATCACACTGATCCCGGGTGATTTGCGCCGTCATAACGACAGCCTTTCACACCCCTCAATCTTGAAGAGTGTGAGTAGACCGGTCGCACCGTGTTTGTTTTCCTCTCTTCATAGCTTGAACGCAAAATCGTGCTTGTTCTTCTGTGTGAAAATCACACGACACCGTTCATAAGGCTTCGGTTTCAACAAAAGAAATAATCTGATCAGCGTCAGGTCAGCTAACATGTTAGTTGAAATGCTCCACCCTCTGGCCAAGCCACTGTTTCCTATTTTGAACAGATACCCTCGGGTTAAGTAGAGCTGAATGCTACCAGGCACGTCCCCGAGTTGTGGATAGGGGATACCTTCACCGAAGAAGGTTAGCTGTGAATAAGTTGAGGCATACAGCAAAAAATAAGCAGTCGAGACCAAACAGCGACGGCACTACCAGGGTGTGGTAGGTTTCAGTCTGATCACCTGGCTCCTGTTTANGTTCCTGTTTAAAAGCCGCATAAGCCCAATGACGGTATCGTGACAAAGGTCAATCTGACTGGCCTTTAAAAACTAAAGTCATTGACATCCTCACTTCCGAGTGGTGAGGAATTACTTCCTGCTGCCTTGCAGTTCGCACTTGGTTGTGCAAAGGTTAGAGGTGCGTCCTCAAAATAAAAAGAACACCGAGTGACGCCGGGGACGTCTCTCGTACCAAACTTCCAAGGAACTTCATGATCATGTCTGGAGCCGGCTAATCCTTTCCAAGGAGTCAGCCGCAGTAAGATGTAGTAAGTATTTTGAAGAGATTGTCCCCTCCCATCGTAAATGGTTCGTCGACCTCCAGTTTGCCTATCCGTTG